TAACTGAAATTATTAATTCGAATATGTAATTAAGAAAAAAAAAAAATTATTTGGTCCAAATGAATATTTGATTTAAATAAATATTTATTTGATAATAGTCGAATAAACAAATTTGAAACACTAAATTTTTTTTTCCAGTGTAATTATACGTAAATATGATAAATAATTATTTATAATTATGAGAAATAATAACAGAGAAATAGGATAAATAATTACAGATAAATACGATAAATAATTACAGATAAATACGATAAATAATTATACATAAATATAATAAATAATTACTCATAAATATAAATTTTATTTTAATATTTGTTCATTATTTGATTAATTTTACTTTTTTCAATTAAAAAAAAGGCATAAATCTGTTATTCAAATATCAAAATGTCAATTTGGAAATAGCCTCCATTGTAAGTTAAATTAACATAATATGGCAAATTAATTACAATGAAATTCAAAATTTCACATCAAAATTTTGCGCAATATTGTCAAAATTAAATTATTTTATATATTATCAATTTTCGAAATTAAAGCTCCATCTCAATAAAAATCGAATTTCATTGTAAAATAATAATTCCAAAATTTGTATTTATTTATTTATTTATTTATAACAAATATTTAAACATAAAAATTATAATAGTTTAAAAAAATATTATAATTATAATTGAATATTAATATTAATATTAATAATTATAAATATTAATTATAAATATTAATTAAAAATATTAAAATTATAATTTATTTATTTAATACAATAATAAATGAAATATTTAAGAAAAATGGGAGAAAAATTCTAAAGAAAAAAGTAAATGGACCGATGAAAAGTACCACCTGCAAGAGTTTCTTTTTCAATACTGATCTTTATAATATGCATTGATGTTGGAAATATATATATTTATATATATGACGAAGAGAGAAATAAATATTATTAGGGAGCAAAAAAATATGGCTAAGAAAGAGAAAAGTCATATAGACACACATTTAGATCTATATATATATAAATTTCTATCTCTCATGGATGCTGTTACCTATCACCCTCATTGATTTCCCTAGCGTGAAAGACGGATCTTCCCTCGTTTCTTTAGCACTCAACATGTCTAACGATCGGCAATACGTCTAGTATCAAAGAGAATGAACGAGAAAGAAGCATATCGAATATTTATGGTTGCTACATAGAATGTGAGAAAGATCTACTACAAAAAAAAAAAAAAAAGAAAAAAAGTTCGTAAAGTTCGAAAAAAAACACGTGGATCAAAGCAATTATTCATTTCATCAAATATTTTTTTACTAGAAATAAAATTTAATTTAATTTCCAAAAAATTTTTAATAATGAATTTCTTTATTCTTTTTCTTTTTTTTTTAATTTTTCTTAATTTCTTTTCTCTTAATTTTTTATTAATTTATTTTCAAATACAAAAAAAAAACCGTCTCCAAATGTCAAGTGTCAGAAAAAATACGTGGGGGAATTTTTTCTTCTCGAAAACTTTTTTTCACCGTCTCTCTCTTTTTTTTACAATTATGAAGGCTATCAAAAATTTATACCGGATTTCACTTTGTACAATAAAACCTAATTCCCGTTGGTGTTAATTATTCACGCCTATAGTTACTATCAATCTTACCTTCTAGATTGAGAACTTTATGAAAACTTTGTTCAAAGATTTCGCTTCTCTGAAAGTTTCGTTGGAATATAGCGAGATTTTTTTTCTTCTTCTTTTGGGTGAAATAATCTTATTAAATAATTATTATCAAACAATAAACGCGAATTTTTAAATAATAATTATTAATTAATTTACGAATTATTAAAATGATTAAATATTGAATAATAGAGATTTATTTTTTCCCAAAATAATTTTACTAAATTATTATTTAACAACGAATTTTCAAGAGAATAATAATTTAATAATAATTAATAATTTTAATAATAATTTTTGATTGAAAAATAAATAAAAAGAACTTACAAATTAAAAGGCACAAAAAACAAATAGTAAACAATTTGAATGAAATTTTATAAAAAAAAGATTCGAAAAAAAACTTACGAATAAAAAAAAAATTACAAATTAAAAGGCACAAAAAACAAATAGTAAACAATTTATATTATTTATGTTTTATTTTATTATATTAGGAATTTGATTCAATGGTAAAATTTTTTTTTTTCGAGGACAATTAAAAAAAAATATTTGAAAAATCTCTCTCCCTCTTTTGTTTCTTAAATTGAAAAATAAAAAATTCGTTTATGAAAAAAGAAATTTCCCTCTGACCTGCATTTTACAAGAATTAAACTTAAAAAAAAAACCCCAAAAGAGATCTTTATTTTTCGTATATATAAAATGCAAGATTGGAATTTACTCTGCAAATATTTCCGGACAGTGAAGAAAAAAAAAAATTTTTCCTCTCTTTTTCACAACATTAAAATCCAGGTAAAAAAAAAAGAGAGAGAGAGAGAGAAATATATATAAAACTTTGAGGTAAAGATGCATTGTTTTACTTTTAGTGAAGAGAAAAAGAAAAATTTCATTCGTATTTTTCAAAGGAGAAAAAACGCGCATTTAAACCTCATTTCATTAAATATGATCAAAGTTTCTCTGATCATCTTTTTTTTTTAAATTTCAAAAAAAAAAAAAATTTACCACACAGAGAATTATCAAACTATATAAAAAGATAATTCACGCAAAATTTTAAATAAAGAGAAAAATCAGCTTAAAAGAACATGAGCAAATTTTAATTATATATATTTATAAATTAAAGTTTAATTTATAATTAAATCAAGTGTGCGCTCGTGAGATTAATTAATATATTGTTAATTTTTTTCTTTTAAATAAAACTGAATTATTTAATTAATTAAAAATTTTTTTAAAAATTAAAAAACTTAAAACTAAAGAATAAAAAAAATAATTAATAATAATAATAATAATAATAATAATATTTTTCATATTTCTACTTAAAATTATAAATAAATAAATGCAATTTAATAAATGAACTTAATAAATTTACACTTAATGCTTATAAATAAAAACAAAAATTATTTTTAATTATTATACGTTCCAAGACGAGATTCTTTTGTTTTTTTGTCAATTGAATTTTAAAAATTCTTTTTTAATTTAGTTAAAAATTTCAATTGTTTATAAATTTAACAAATATTTTTTTCTAATACTTTTTGGAAACTTATTATCATAATAATAAAAAATAATCAAAAATAATAAATAAATATAAATAAATATAAATAAATATTTATTTGAGGTAAATTAAATTTTTTCATTTTATTTAAATAAATTTTATGTCTCAAATAAATGCAAATAAAATATTTTCTCTGGTTCTACATTATATCCTATATTTATGAATTAAATTAAAAAAATAAAATATTATAATAAATATTATAAAATATTATAAATATTATAAATATTATAATATTATAAAATATTATTAAAATTTTTATTTATTTACTGATGATTATATTAAATTATTATTATTATTATTATTATTATTATTATTATTATTATTATTATTTTATTATTATTATTATTATTATCGTTATTATCATTATTAAAATATTATTATTCATTAATATTATAATATAATAATTATTATTTGTTATCACGCAAAAAAATCTTCACCTGGAACAGTGATAAGTTTCTTTGGAACAGCGAAATATTTATTTAGAATAGCTAAAACTTTCCCTATTCTAGTGAAATATATCGTTGATTAAGATGAAGATTTTTTTTGCGTGGAGAAAAATTTTTTTTTTCCTCTTTCGCGTGAAAAAAATGTATTTCTTTTTTTTTTTTTTTAGTAACAAATTTTTCATTGATAAAAACTAACTATACAGCGACTGTGATTATTTTTTTTTTTTCTCTTTCTCTCTCACACAGTGCGCCAATGATAAATAAAAAAAAAAAAAAAAGAAAAAAAAACTGTTCTCAGTGAGAAAATATTAAAATTTATGGACGCTTTGGCTTAAAGAAGTGACATTACTTTTATTTTTGTCTGGACTTTTCGAATATGTATTGGAATTGAATGAAAAATTACGTCACCTTCCGGTTTACTAGTGCGAGAAAAAAGGGGTATACAAGAGAGAAAGAGAGAGAGAGAGAGACAGAGAGAATTTTATCTATCGCGACCCTTCGCTCTGGTAACGTGATTAACGACACTGGAAACGGGGTCGAAGTTTTCGTACAACCGGTGCACGTAGCAGGTTGGAAAAAAAAAAAATTGCATCTGGCGGTTTTCGATCGGTTATGCCACCGCATCGGTAATAGAAGATGTTTCTCTCTCCATTCCTCGTCATTTTTCCGGTAAAGCATTGTATATATATATATTTTTTTTTGTTACGCGTAAAACTCGAAAAAAAGAGAGAGAGAGAGAGAGAGAACGATAGGGTTATAGAGTGATCTAAGCGAGGGCAAAATTCGTATATGTGTGCGAGTAACGAAAAACTGTCTGATCAGATTTCACTGGACGTATTTCAATCGAGGTCAGTGCATACATCTATAACGATATCCTCGAGTCTCGATAGATCGATGTTTTTTTTCGAATTTTTTTTTTTTTTTTTTTTTTTTTTTTTTAATTGTGTAGACTGGCTCCTCTCAATATTCGCGAGGGCAGTCTACTACTCGAAATATGCACGAGGAAAAAAATTGTTTTGTAAATAAAGATGAGGGTCGATGAAATCGAATAACACTCATTTGGAGGAAGAGAACTTTCATTGGGGAAATTCATTTCTTTTTCAAAAAAAATTTCATTAATTGTTTTGAAATTTTTTGTTAATTGTAATAATAAAAATTTTTGAATTAAAAATTAAAAATTGAAAATTAATAATTAAAAATTGAAAATTAAAAATTAAAAATTAAAAATTAAAAATTAAAAATTAAAAATTAAAAATTAAAAATTAAAAATTAAAAATTAAAAATTAAAAATTAAAAATTAAAATTAAAAATAAAAATTGAAAATTAATATTTAAAAATTAATAATTAAAAATTAAAATAAAATTTGTTTTTTAAACTCACCTTTTTGGCATCGTTGTTGTTATCAGCGGCGTGATGTGGTTGAGGACTCATCGCTGAACCATTACTGACTGCGCCACTTTGTGATAAAAGTTCGTCGCTGCCCCTCTGAAAATCAAGAAATTTTTTCTTTTTTAATTAACGTTTTATTTTAATGATGAAAAAAAATTGTACGATTTTAGGTAAAATAATTATGTAAATTATATTTATATTAAATCTCAGTTTACTAGAAGAAATAAAAAAATTAATTAATTAATTAAAAAAAAATTTTTAAATAAAAAAAAAAATAATAATAATAATAATAAAGCCCGTTTACAATTTCTAAATAAATAAATATATATATAATTAATTAATAAAAGTGATAATTTAGACTGAAATTAAATATAATTATAATTGATCTGACTAAAACTTATTTATACTATACTGTTTATAAAATTACAATAATTTTACTGCTTATGGCTGACTAAAATCTATTTATACTACTAATCGTAATATTTTTAAAAAATTCCAGCCTGTCTGACTAAAAATATTTTTACTACTGATTCTAAAATTACAATTAAAATAAGGTCTGTTAAGCTGGCACCACAAGTTTGATATTTTTAAATATCTCCTATGTGAGAATTTAGGGCTCAATTAGGGCTAATTACCGCTCAAAATAAAAAATTTACCGCTCTTTATTTTTTTAAAAAAAAGGCGGTTGGTGCTACCTTAACGTTAAGCTGGCACCAACCGCTTAAAAAACCAAATAAATAAAGAGATAATTAAAATCCTACCATGCCATAATTTAGGGCTCATTTAGGGCTTTCAACTGGACATAGAAAGAATTTTCAAAAAAAATTTTAAAAACAAAAACACTCTACTTGATTTTTTTTTTTTTTAAAAAAGGGGTTGGTGCTACCTTAACGTTAAGCTGGCACCAACCGCTTAAAAAACCATATAAAAAACAAAATATTTGACAATCCACCCTGACACAATTTAGGGCTTATTTAGGGCTTTCAACTGGACATAAAAAGAATTTTCAAAAAAAAATTCAAAATCAAAGAACACACTCCACCATATAGTTTTTTTTAGAAAGGAGACCCTAATAAAAAGTAGGATATTTAAAATTTGACTTTGCCATAATTTAGGGCTCATTTAGGGCTTTCGTATGGACGCATACAGAAATTTAAAAAACATTTCTAAATCGAAAAAAATCTTTATATTTTTTTTAAAAAAGGAGTTGGTGCCACCTTAACATTTGGCTGGCACAACTCACTTTAAAACCCAAATAAAAAAACAGATATTTAAATTTTGACTATGCCATAAATTAATGCTCATTTAGGGCTTTCAAATGGACGTAGAAAGAATATTTAAAAAAATTTCTAAATCAAAAAAAAAAATTTTATATTTTTTTTAAAAAAAGGAGTTGGTGCTATCTTAACTCTTAGCTGGCACAACTTACTTCAAAACCCTAATAAAAAATCGGATATTTAAATTCTGACTATGCCATAATTTAGGGCTCATTTAGGGCTTTCGAATGGACGCATAAAGAAATTTGAAAAAAATTTCTAAATCGAAAAAAATCTTTATATTTTTTTTAAAAAAGGAGTTGGTGCTACCTTAACATTTGGCTGGCACAACTCACTTTAAAACCCAAATAAAAAAACAGATATTTAAAATTTGACTATGCCATAATTTAAGGCTCATTTAGTGCTTTCAAATGGACGTAGAAAGAAATTTTAAAAAAATTTCTAAATCGAAAAAAAAAAATTTTTGTATTTTTTTTAAAAAAGGAGTTGGTGTCACCTTAACATTTGGCTGGCACAACTCACTTCAAAACCCTAATAAAAAGTAGGATATTTAAAATTTGACTTTGCGATAATTCAGGGCTCATTTAGGGCTTTCAAATGGACGCATAAAGAAATTTAATAAAAAATTTCTAAATCGAAAAAAATCTTAATTTTTTCAACAAAAATAAATACTTTGGAATTTAGGGCTAATTTAGGGCTCCTAAATGGAATTACATTGGGAGTTCAAGAATGATACCGCAACTATAAAACCAACCCAAGAGTAGTTCAAACTTAATTTTTTCAAAAAATAAATACTAAGGAATTTAGGGCTTATTTAGGGCTCTTGAATGGAACTACATTGGGTGTTCAAATATGATACCTTAACTTTAAGAACTACCCCAGAGTAGTTCTAACTTAATTTTTTCAAAAAATAAATACTTAGGAATTTAGGGCTCTCACAGAAAACTAAAAGGTATTAAAATAAGCTGCAACGCTTCTTATTTTAATCAAATTTTTCTTATTTTAATTCATTTTGGTTTTAAAATAAGTAAAAATGGATTAAAATAAGAAGCGTTGCAGCTTATTTTAATACCTTTTAATTTTCTGTGCTTGAATGGAACTACATTGGGTGTTCAAAAATGATACCCCAACTTTAAGAACTACCCCAGAGTAGTTCTAACTTAATTTTTTCAAAAAATAAATACTTAGGAATTTAGGGCTCTTGAATGGAACAACATCGGGTGTTCAAAAATGATACCCCAACTTTAAGAACTACCCCAGAGTAGTTCAAACTTAATTTTTTTAAAAAATAAATACTTAGGAATTTAGGGCTTATTTAGGGCTTTTAAAAAAATTTCATTGGGTGTTCAAAAATGATAAACCAACTTCAAAAACTACCCCAGGGTAGTTCAAAGTTAATTTTTTAAATTAACAAATACTTAGGAATTATTGCTAATTTTTTCAAAAAATTAAGTTTGAACTCCTCTGGGGTAATTTTTAAAGTTGGTGTATCATTCTTGAACACCCAAGTAGTTCCATTTAGCAGCCCTAAATTAGCCCTAAATCCCTAAGTATTTATTTTTTAAAAAAATTAAGTTTGAACTACTCTTGGGTGGTTTTTAAAGTTGGGGTATCATTTTAGAACATCCAAGTAGTTCCATTCAAGAGCCCTAAATAAGCCCTAAATTCCTTAGTATTTATTTTTTGAAAAAATTAAGTTTGAACTACTCTTGGGTTGGTTTTATAGTTGCGGTATCATTCTTGAACTCCCAATGTAATTCCATTTAGGAGCCCTAAATTAGCCCTAAATTAGCCCTAAATTCCAAAGTATTTATTTTTGTTGAAAAAATTAAGATTTTTTTCGATTTAGAAATTTTTTATTAAATTTCTTTATGCGTCCATTTGAAAGCCCTAAATGAGCCCTAAATTATGGCAAAGTCAAATTTTAAATATCTGTTTTTTTATTTGGGTTTTAAAGTGAGTTGTGCCAGCCAAATGTTAAGGTAGCACCAACTCCTTTTTTAAAAAAATATAAAAATTTTTTTCGATTTAGAAATTTTTTTCAAATTTCTTTATGCGTCCATTCGAAAGCCCTAAATGAGCCCTAAATTATGGCAAAGTCAAATTTTAAATATCCGATATTTTATTAGGGTTAAGCTGGCACCAACTGCTTAAAAAACCAAATGAATAAAGAGATAATTAAAATTCTACCATGACATAATTTAGGGCTCATTTAGGGCTTTCAATTGGACATAGAAAGAATTTTCAAAAAAAAATTTAAAAACAAAAACACTCTACTTGATTTTTTTTTTTTTTAAAAAGGGGTTGGTGCTACCTTAACGTTAAGCTGGCACCAACCGCTTAAAAAACCATATAAAAAACGAGATATTTAAAAATCCACCCTGACACAATTTAGGGCTCATTTAGGGCTTTCAAATGGAGGTAGAAAGGAATTTAACAAAAAATTTCTAAATCAAAAAAAAAATATTTATATTTTTTTTAAAAACGGAGTTGGTGCCACCTTAACACTTAGCTGGCACAATTCACTTCAAAACTCAAAAAAAACAACAGATATTTAAATTTCGACTATGCCATAATTTAGGGCTCATTAAGGGCTTTCAAATGGACGTAGAAAGAAATTTAACAAAAAATTTCTAAATCAAAAAAAAAATATTTATATTTTTTTTTAAAAAGGAGATGGTGCCACCTTAACACTTAGCTGGCACAATTCACTTCAAAACTCAAAAAAACAACAGATATTTAAATTTCGACTATGCCATAATTTAGGGCTCATTAAGGGCTTTCAAATGGACGCAGAAAGAAATTTAACAAAAAATTTCTAAATCAAAAAAAAAATATTTTTATTTTTTTTAAAAACGGAATTGGTGCCACCTTAACACTTAGCTGGCACAATTCACTTTAAAACTCAAATAAAAAAACAGATATTTAAATTTTGACTATGCCATAATTTAGGGCTCATTAAGGGCTTTCAAATGGACGTAGAAAGAAATTTAACAAAAAATTTCTAAATCAAAAAAAAAATATTTTTATTTTTTTTAAAAACGGAATTGGTGCCACCTTAACACTTAGCTGGCACAATTCACTTCAAAACTCAAAAAAAACAACAGATATTTAAATTTTGACTATGCCATAATTTAGGGCTCATTAAGGGCTTTCAAATGGACGTAGAAAGAAATTTAACAAAAAATTTCTAAATCAAAAAAAAAATCTTTATATTTTTTTTTAAAAAGGAGATGGTGCCACCTTAACACTTAGCTGGCACAATTCACTTCAAAACTCAAAAAAACAACAGATATTTAAATTTTGACTATGCCATAATTTAGGGCTCATTAAGGGCTTTCAAATGGGCGTAGAAAGAAATTTAACAAAAAATTTCTAAATCAAAAAAAAAATATTTATATTTTTTTTAAAAACGGAGTTGGTGCCACCTTAACACTTAGCTGGCACAATTCACTTCAAAACTCAAAAAAACAACAGATATTTAAATTTCGACTATGCCATAATTTAGGGCTCATTAAGGGCTTTCAAATGGACGTAGAAAGAAATTTAACAAAAAATTTCTAAATCAAAAAAAAAATATTTATATTTTTTTTTAAAAAGGAGATGGTGCCACCTTAACACTTAGCTGGCACAATTCACTTCAAAACTCAAAAAAACAACAGATATTTAAATTTCGACTATGCCATAATTTAGGGCTCATTAAGGGCTTTCAAATGGACGTAGAAAGAAATTTAACAAAAAATTTCTAAATCAAAAAAAAAATATTTTTATTTTTTTTAAAAACGGAATTGGTGCCACCTTAACACTTAGCTGGCACAA